TACCTTTTCTGAAATAATATTACTTTTTTGATCTTTATGTAAAAATTCAGGGGAGTCTTGCTTCACTGGTTTTTTGGGAAAGAAAACATTTCCTTTGCAACTTGGAATTAAAAAGTGCAACCATTTGAGTTGTTTTCCTTTTCCTTCCTCTAAAACCAAGAAACATATTTTTCTTTCTGTACTGAGACCATTACTAAACTATCAGATGAACAGTTGGGTCCTGAAACCAAGATATTTATAGTCTGTAAATAGTTTCATGGTGGTAGTAGTAAAGAATGGAGTGGTCTCCCCTATATACACAGACTGCCTTATGATTTTTCAAAATTATATTTTAAGTTTTGGGATACATCTGCAGAACGTGCAGGTTTGTTACATAGGTATACACGTGCCATAGTGATTTGCTGCACTCATTAACCCATCATTTACATTAGGTATTTCTCCAATGCTATCCCTCCCCTAGGCCCCAACACCCTAACAGGCTCTGTCTGGTGTGTGATGTTCCTCTCACTGTTTTCATGCATTCTCATTGTTCAGTTCCCACTTAGGAGTGAGAATATGTGGTGGTTGGTTTCCTGTTCCCGTGTTAGTTTGCTGAGAATGATGGTTTCCAGGTTCATCCATGTCCCCGCAAAGGATATAAACTCATACTTTTTTATGGCCTCATAGTATTCCATGGTGTATATGTGCAACATTTTCTTATGCCTATCATTGATGGGCATGTGGGCTGGCTTCAAGTCTTTGCTATTGTAAACAATGCTGCAATAAATATACATGTGCATGTGTCTTTATAGTAGAATGATTTATAATCCTTTGGATATATACCCAGTAATGGGATTGCTGGGTCAAATGGTATTTCTGGTTCTAGATCCTTGAGGAATTGCCACAGTGTCTTCCACAATGGTTAAACTAATTTACACTCCCACCAACAGTGTAACAGCATTCCTATTTTTCCACATTTTCTCTGGTATCTGTTGGTTCCTGATTTTTTAATGATTGTCATTCTGACTGGTGTGAGATGGTATCTCATTGCGGTTTTGATTTGCATTTCTCTAATGACCAGTGATGATGAGCTTTCCTTCAAATGTTTGTTGGTCACATAAATGTCTTATTTTGAGAAGGGTCAGTTCATATCCTTTGCCCACTTTTTAATGGGGTTGCTTGTTTTTTGTTTTTTCTTGTAAATTTGTTTAAGTTCTTTGTAGACTCTGGATATTATCCCTTTCTCAGACAGATAGATTGCAAAAATTTTCTCTCATTTTGTAGGTTGCCTGTTCAGTCTGATGATAGTTTCTTTTGCTGTGCAGAAGCTATTTAGTTTAATTAGATCCCATTTGTCAATTTTGGCTTTTGTTGGCATAGCTATTGGTGTTCTAGTCATGAAGTATTTGCCCATGCCTATGTCCTGAATGGCATTGCCTAGGTTTTCTTCTAGGGTTTTTATGGTTTTGGGTCTTAGGTTTAAGTCTTTAATCAATCTTGAATTAATTTTTTGATAAGATGTAAGCAAGGGGTCCAGTTCCAGTTTTCTGCATATGGCTAGCCAGTTTTCTCAACACCATTTATTAAATAGGGAATTCTTTCCCCATTGCTTGTTTTTGTCAGATTTGTCAAACATCAAATGGTTGTAGAGGAGTGGCATTATTTCTGAGGCCTCTGTTCTGTTCCATTGGTTTACATATCTGTTTTGGCACCAGTACCATGCTGTTTTTGTTACTGTAGCCTTGTAGTATAGTTTGCAGTCAGGTAGCGAGATGCCTCCAGCTTTATTCTTTTTCCTTAAGATTGTCTTGGCTATACGGTCCCTTTTTTGGTTCCATGTGGAATTTAAAGTATTTTTTCTAATTCTATGAAGAAAGTCAATGTTATCTCGATGGGGATAGCATACTTTGGGCATTATGGCCATTTTTATGATATGGATTCTTCCTATACATGATGGTGGTGTGTCTTTTTGATGTGCTGCTGGATTCGGTTTGGCAGTATTTTATTGAGGATTTTCTCATTGATGTTCATCAGGGATAGTGGCTTGAAAATTTCTTTTTTTGTTGTGTCTCTGTCAGGTTTTGGTATCAGGATGATGTTGGCCTCATCAAATGAGTTAGGGAGAAGTTTCTCTTTTTCTATTGTTTGGAATAGTTTCAGAAGGAATGGTACCAGTGCCTCTTTATATGTCTGGTAGAATTTGTCTGTGAATCTGTCTGGTCCTGGGCTTTTTTTGCTTAGTAGGCTATTAATTACTGCCTCAATTTCAGAACTTGTTATTGTTCTATTCAGGGATTCAACTTCTTCCTGGTTTAGTCTTGGGAGGGTGTATGTGTCCAGGAATTCATCCATTTCTTCTAGATTTTCTAGTTTATTTGCATAGAGGTGTTTATAGTATTCTCTGATGTAGTTTATAGTATTCTCTGATGGTAGTTCATATTTCTGTGGGATCAGTGGCGATCTACCCTTTGTCATTTTTTATTGTGTCTATTGGTTTCTTCTCTCTTTTCTTTTCATTAGTCTGGCTAGCAGTCTATCTATTTTTTGTTGATCTTTTCAAAACACCAGCTCCTGGATTCGTTGATTGTTTGAAGGGCTTTTTGTATCTCTATCTTCTTCATTTCTGCTCTAATCTTAATTATTTCTTGTCTTCTGTTAGCTTTTGAATTTGTTTGCTCTTGCTTCCCTAGTTCTTTTAATGTGATGTTAGGGTGTCAATTTTTGATCTTTTCCGCTTTCTCCTGTGGGCATTCAGTGCTATAAATTTCCCTCTAAACACTGCTTTTGCTATGCCCCAGAGCTTCTGGTACATTGTGTCTTTGTTTCATTGGTTTCAAAGAACTTATTTATTTCTGCTTTAATTTTGTTATTTATCCAGTAGTCATCCAGGAGCAGGTTCTTCAGTTCCTATGTAGTTGTGCAGTTTTGAGCGTGTTTCTTAATTCTGAGTTCTAATTTGATTGCTCTATGATCTGAGAGACTGTTGCTTATGATTTCCAGTCTTTTGCCTTTGCTGAGGAGTGTTTTACTTCCAATTATGTGGTCAATTTTAGAATAAGTGTGATGTAATGCTGAGAAGAATGTATATTCTCTTGATTTGGGGTGGAGAGTTCCGTAGATATCTATTAGGTCCACTTGGTCCAGAGCTGAGTTCAAGTCCTGAATATTCTTGTTAATTTTCTATCTTGTTAATAATCTGTCTAATATTGACAGTGGGGTGTTAAAGTCTCCTGCTATTATTATGTGGTAGTCTAAGTCTCTCTGTAGGTCTTTATGAACTTGCTTTATGAATTTGGGTGCTCCTGTATTGGGTGCATATATATAAGATAGTTAGCTATTCTTGTTGCATTGATCCCTTTACCATTATGTAATGCCCTTCTTTGTCTCTTTTGATCATTGTTGGTTTAAAGTCTGTTTTGTCAGAGACTAGGATTGCAACCCCTGCTTTTTTTGCTTTCTATTTGCTTGATAAATATTCCTCCATCCCTTTATTTTGAGCCTATGTGTGTCTATGCATGTGAGATGGGTCTCCTGAGTATAGCACACCGATGGCCCCTGACTTTATCTAGTTTGCCAGTCTGTGTCTTTTAATTGGGGCATTTAGCCCATTTATATTTAAGGTTAATATTATGGTATGTAAATTTGATTTTGTCATTATGATGCCAGCTGGTTATTTTGCCCATTAGTCGATTCAGTTTCTTCAGACTGTCGATGGTCTTTATAATTTGGTATGTTTTTGCAGTGGCTAGTACTGGATTTTTCTTTCCATATTTAGTGCTTCCTTCAGGAGCTCCTGTAAGGCAGGCCTGGTGGTGACAAAATCTCTCGGCATTTGCTTTTCTATTCTGGCTTGAAACTTCTTTCCTTTAAAAATGTTGATTATTGGCCCCCACTCTCTTCTGGCTTGTAGGGTTGCTGCTGAGAGATCTGCTGTTAGTCTTATGGGCTTCTTTTTGTGGGTAACCTGACCTTTCTTTCTGGCTGCCCTTAGCATTTTTTCCTTCATTTTAACCTTGGTGAATCTGATGATTATGTGTCTTGGGGTTGCTCTTCTCAAGGAGTATCTTTGTAGAGTTCTCTGTATTTTCTGAATTTGAATATTGGCCTGTCTTGCTAGGTTGGGCAAGTTATCCTGGATAATATCCTGAAGAATGTTTTCCAACTTGGTTCCGTTCTCCTCATCACTTTTAGGTACACCAAACAAAGGTAGGTTTGGTCTCTTCACATAGTCCTACGTTTCTTGGAGGCTTTGTTCATTCCTTTTCTTTTTTCTTTTTCTTTTTTAATTTTATTATTATTATTTTTTTAAAGACGGTTTCACCATATTGGTCAGGCCGGTCTCGAACTTCTGACCTCAGGTGATCCGCCTGCCTCAGCCACCCAAAGTGGTGGGTGTGAGCCACCACGCCCAGCTGTTCATTCTTTTTAATTTTTTTTTTTTCTCTAATCTTGTCTTCAGGATTTATTTCATTAAGCTGATTTTCAATCTCTGATGTTCTTTCTTCCACTTGATTGATTTGGCTATTGATACATGTGTATGTTTCACCAAGTTCTTGTGCTGTGTTTTTCAGCGCCATCAGGTCATTTGTATTCTTTTCTAAATTGTTTATTCTAGTTAGCAATTCCTATAACCTTTTTTCTTTCTTTCTTTTTTTTTTTTTTTTTTGACAGAGTCTCACTCTGTTGTCCACGCTGAGGTGCAGTGGCATGATCTTGGCTCACTGCAACCTCTTCCTCCTGGGTTCAAGCAATTCTCCTGCCTCAGCCTCCTGATTAGCTGGGACTACAGGAGCACACTGCCATGCCTGACTAATTTTTTTTTGTTTTGTTATTTTAGTATAGATGGGGTTTCACTGTGTTGCCCAAGCTGGTCTCAAACATTGTGGCCTCTAAAAGTGCTAGAATTACAGGTGTGAACCACTGGGCCTGGCCTTCTCTAACCTTTTTTGAAGGTTCTTAGCTTCTTTGCATTGGGTTAGTACATGCTCCTTTAGCTTGGAGGAGTTTGTTATTACCCACCTTCTAAAGCCTACTTCTGTAATTTGTCAAACTCATTCTCCGTCTGGTTTTGTTCTCTTGCTGGTGAAGATTTGCGATCCTTTGGAGGAGAAGAGATGTTCTGGTTTTTGGAATTATCAGCCCTTTCATGCTGGTTTTTCCTCATCCTTGTGGATTTATCTACCTTTGGTCTTTGGTACTGGTGAGCTTCGGGTGGAGTTTCTATGTGGACGTTCTTTTGGTTGATGTTGATGTTATTCCTTTCTGTTTGTTAGTTTTCCTTCTAACACTCAAGCTCCTCTACTGCAGATCTGCTGGAGTTTGCTGGTGGTCCACTCCAGACCCTGTTTGCCTGGGTATCTCCAGGGAGACTGCAGAATAGCAAAGATTGCTGCCTGTTCCTTTCTCTGAAAGCTTTGTCCCAGAGGGACACCTGCCAGATGCCAGCTGGAGGTCTCTTGTATGAAGTGTCTGTCAACCCCCGCAGGGAGACGTCTATCAGTTAGGAGGCACGGGGGTCAGGAACCCACTTGAGGAGGCAGTCTGTCCCTTAGCAGAGCTCAAGTCCTGGGAGATCTGCTGCTCTCTTTAGAGCTGGCAAGCAGGAACGTTTAAGTCGGCTAAAGCTGTGCCCACAGCCGCCCCTTCACCCAGGACCTCTGTCCCAGGTAAATGGGAATTTTATCTATAAACCCCTGACTGGAGCTGCTGCCTTTCTTTCAGAGATGCCATGCTAGGAGAGGAGAAATCTAGAGAGACAATTTGACTACAGCAGTTTTGCTGAGCTGCCGCAGGCTCTGCCCGGTTCAAACTTCCAGGTGGCTTTGTTTACACTGTGAGGGGAAAACTGCCTACTCAAGCATCAGTAATGGCGGACACCCTTCCTTTCACCAAGCTCAAGCATCCGAGGTTGACTTCAGACTGCTATGATGGCAGTGGGAACTTCAAGCCAGTGGATCTTAGCTTGCTGGGCTTTGTGGGGGTGGGATCCGCTGAGCTAGACCACTTGGCTCCCTGGCTTCAGCCCCCTTTCCCAAGGAGTGAATGGTTGTGTCTTGCTTGCATTCCAGGCACCACAGAGCTCCTTCAGCTAGCTTGGTGCCTGCCCAAATGTCCATCCAGTTTTGTGCCTGGAACCAAGGGCCCTGGTGGTGTAAGCACCCAAGGGAATCTCCTGGTCTGTGGGTTGTGATTACCATAGGAAAAGCATAGTATCTGGACAGGAATGCACAGTTCCTCATGGCACAGTCCCTGATGGCTTCCCTTGTCTAGGAGAGGGAGTTCCCCAGCCCTTTGCACTTCCCAGGTGAGATGACGCCCAACCCTGCTTCAGCTCGTCCTCTGTGGTGTGCACCAACTATCTAAACAGTCCCAGTTAGATGAGCCAGGTACCTTAGTTGGAAATGCAGAAATCACCTACCTTCTGTGTTGATCTCACTGGGAGCTGTAGATCAGAGCCGCTCCAGGTCTGGAGCTTGCCATCTTGCTCAGGTTTCTTCTTCTTTTGTTCTTCTGTCTTCCATCTTCTGTCTTCCGTCTTCCATCTTCCTCCTCCTCCTCCTCCTCCTCTTTCTTCTTCTTTCTTCCTCTTCTTCCCTTCTTCTTCTTTCCTCTTTTTTTTTTTTTCTTTCTTTTTCTTCCTTCTTCCTTTTTTTCTTCTTTCTTTCTTCTTCTTTTTCTTTTCTTCTTCTTCTCTTCTTCTTCCTCCTCCTCCTCCTTCTCCTCCTTCTCTTCCTCTTCTTCCTCCTCCTCCTCCTCCTTTCTTCTTCTTCTTCTTCTTCTTCTTCTTCTTCTTCTTCTTCTTCTTCTTTTTCTTCTTCTTTCTTCTCTCCTCCTCCTCTTCTTCTTCCTCCTCTTCTTGCTCTTCTTCCTCTTTCTCTTCCTGTTCTTCAACCTCTTCCTCTCTTCCTTTTCTTCTTCTTCTTCCTCCTCCTTTTTCTCCTCCTCTTCTTTCTTCTTCTTTTTTTTAACAATTTAAAGTAAAGTCTAATTTTTCTGCAATGAGAGCAAAGCAATCTAAGTCTCTACTGGGAGAAGTTATGGTGATTCTTTTTTGTTACATTCTCAGGCACCGTAGATCTGTGAATTGATTTTTTTTTTTTTGTGGTCATTCTCTTTAATATAAAACATAGGTATTGAGAAATAAAGAATGTTTATAAATATAGACAAAATTATATTTCAAATATTGCATTTTTTCCCTTAATCAACTTAATTTCAGAGCATATAGTCTTGGAAGGACAGTCACTCAGAAGTTTACTTTTAAAAAGTAATGGTGTTCATGCCTCAAATCCAACTTAATGATGTATAAGTCAGCTTTGCTGTTGTAACAAATGATCCCTCAATCTCAATAACTTATATCAACAAAGGTATTTGAGGTTCATTTGTGGCTCTGCCATGCATATCCTCTTATTCAGAATAGCAACATGTCATTCTCACACCTAAAGAAAAAGGCAAGAAAAACACCCTATGTTCTTAAAGCTTCTGCTTGGACGTGGCATGGGTCTTACATGCTGTTGACCAAAGCAAGTTGCATGGCCAAGACATACCAATGGGGCAGGAAACTACATTTCTCCCATAAGAAGTCACTGCTGGGTTTCATGGCAATTAGTAATATTAACAATACTCTAAAGAAAGGGGGAATAAATACTTAAGAACCACAGTACAGTATACCAGGATGATCAACAGTAATTGCTATAAGCTCATTACCAGTCAGTTTAGGGTGCTTCCAATCTCAAACTTGCTTTCATGATTTAAATCAGGACTTACCCACCATAAGGAACACATCCAGAGTTCTCTCTTCCTGTTGTCTGGCATGTACTCAGAATAGTTAAATAATAAATTTTATTATTTGCATAAGCAGAAAAAAACTGGAAGTGTCAGTATTCTAAAAGAAAGCATTATAATGGAGCCCACAACTGGTGGAATTCACAATTCGCTAAATATTGCTTAATGTTTTCAAATTTTTGCACTTTCTCTTATTCTTTTTCACTGTCTTTCTCTGTATTCCAATCTCTTCTTCTCCCTTCCCACAAATACAAATATTTTCTTTACTATATTTTCTCGCTTTTTCTCAATTTATATTCTTTTTTTTTTTTCACTTTTCATTTCAGTAAATTCACTTCTTTATTCAATCAGTGTTACTTCCTGGATACATGTAAGATGTCAAGACAAAACTGACATATCCCTACCTCAGTTTATGAAATTAGAAGTGCTACTCAGTGTGTTCAGGTACTTTATAACTCTGAATCCTTATGATTATTTGCTTACAGAGGCATGTAGATTTATAGCATAGACAAAGATATAAAAGTAAGCTACAATACAAAGTAAATGTTTTTATTTGATTTTGTAGAGACAGGGTCTCACTGTGTTACCCAGGCTAGTCTCAAACTCCTGGCCTCAAGCAGTCTTCCTATCTCAGCTTCCCAAAGCACTGGGATTACAAGATAGGAGCCACTGTGCCTGGCCTACAAAGTAAACTGTTTTAAAAGACAGGAAAGGGTAATTAATAAGGTGCTATGAAAATTCAGCAGAAGATTATTTTAGGATAGGTTGGCAATAGATCAGTCTCATTATCTAAATTTTCTAATCATTTCCTTATTTAAAATTTTCTTTCTCCTCTATTGACAAACTCTTTCTCTTTTTTTCAGATATTTCACCCTCAATGCCTAGCCACGGGTTCCGAATATAGTTCCTTTTTTTTTTTTTTTTTTTTGATGGAGTCTAGCTCTGTTGCCTAGGCTGGAGTACAGTGGCATGATCTCTGCTCACTGCAACCTCTGCCTCCCAGGTTCAAGTGATTCTCCTGCCTCAGTCTCCCAAGTAGCTGGGATTTACAGGTGCCCACCACCACGCCCAGCTAATTTTTGTATTTTTAGTAGAGACAGGGTTTTTCTGTGTTGGCCAGGCTGGTCTAGAACTTCTGACCTTGTGATCCACCCACCTGGGCCTCCCAAAGTGCTGGGATTACAAACATGAGCCATGCTGCCCAGGCTGAATATAGTTATTCTATACCAGGACTATTTTGTTTGCAAATTACAGAGCCTCAATTCAATTCAAACTGGTTTAAGTAAGACAGGGAAATGTACTAGCTCATAAAATGGAAATGTGTCAGATATTTAGACGTAGAATCTAGAAAGAATGTCATCAGGAATCTGTTTTTCTGTTTTATCTTTTCTTTTACTGGTTTTGGTGTTCACAGGTGATGTGGTTAGGTTTTGTGTCCCCATGCAAATGCAAATCTCATCTTGTATTGTAAACCCCAGCTGTGGAGGGA